TTTGGTGTTTTTTCCCTCCCTTCTAGCAACGAAATACATAGAAACAAGGAGAGAGGGCTAGGACAAACAGCTCCTTTACCAAGTTAAGCAGCAGTGCAGAGGCCACAGTGATACACAACAGTTCCTTCCTCCTACAATCAGAATATTTTAATGCCTTTCTCAAGGGGGAATAGAATAATTATTTCCATTTTACAGGTTGTTAAACAGATCCTAGAAGTGAACTGGATGCCCAGTGGAGTCAGAGACAGCATCTCCCGAGTCCCAGTACAGTGTAGCCTGTATGACCTCTTGCACAGTATGCATTTTGCTCCAGGTAGGACTTGAACCATAAATGCCACAAGGCCAGAGGCAAATAAAGTCCCATTGGCATGGTGTGCTGGAGTGCAGCAGAGAACAGCAGCATGAGGCTGACAGCACACCAGAAGAAACCAAGAATTGCAACAGCAACTGGTCATCTGAGATCAAAGCTGAGACCTTTCAAAAGCAGCTGATGTCTGAGAAGTCTTTGTAACCCCCTAAGAACCAGGCCCCTTTCCCATGCTTTACCATCTCTGACTCTTTTGAAAGTTTACATGTTTCCCAGTCCCCCACAGCAGCAGACTTTTCTCTGCATTATGCTCTGAGGTATGTCATCTTCTTGCACGATACTTGGAAAGGAGCCTGATTTTTAGATCTCCATGCCTACCCACCAAGAAAAATATGTCTATGGAAGTGTGTTGAAGTGGGCTACAACAAAACTACATTGTTTTTTTAAAAGCTAGAGGGTTTTAGTGTTTAAAAGCTGAAATCAACAAGCTTGCACAGGCCTTTGTGTCCAAGGTAAAGGCAGAGAGCAGAGTAGGAGTGGCTCCAGCAAACCCTCCCCAATAAGCCATAAGGCAGTGCATTTCAAACACAGCAGTCACCATCAAAGAGAAGTTTAAAATGTGTAGATTTACTGTCAGAGTGGAAGGGCTGCAACATCCACCACTACCTCCCCGTCACCATCACTGATGGCGTGTGCCTGACAGTGTCCCAGGCTCTGCAGCCCCCTGCACTCCAGTAACTAAGGTGCACATCAGAAACCATGACTCTCACTCGCATCCTGGTACTTACCTTCACTGGATTGGCAGGGAGGTGACCCATGAAATCGGTTTTGTAAGGGTAGTCCATCATGGCCATCATGGTGAAGGCATTTCTAGCAAACCCAAAAAGCTGGTAAACATCCTCCTTGTTAGAGATCTTATTGCATGTAGCCATTTTGCTGCTGATTTCATTGTAGGCTGCAGAAGGAAGGAAAATGAAAGGCACAAACTTCAACAGAGGAAAATAATACCAAGCTTTAGCGCCATGTTTCACTTGGGAGCAAGGAGATGCCATAACACACAGATGAGGTTTCTAGTGGGAAGGACACATTACATTTAAATTTACACACACGTGGATGTTCAGGCACAGCCTTCCTTTGTGCAGCTTCACGACCCCGCGTGGCCCACGGCCTGCACTCTGCCCCTCGCGGAGCCACCGACACCTCCCTGGGGAGCCCCAAGGAATCAGCACCCACTGAAGCAGTCCCGGCTGGCACAGTGAGAAGAGCAGCTTGGTATGAGCTCATCCTCACTGGTGCCCTGCCTGGCTGCCTCCTCCTCACGCCTGCAAGCTCCCTCCCTTGGGTCTGCTGTGCCCTGCAGGGCAGTCTACCCAGGCAAGCTCTCATGCAGGAGAGCAGGGTACAGCATACAGGTCCCAGTGGGATTCAATACCTGGAAGATCTGGCAGGCAAAAAAAAAAAAGAGCTCCTTGGGAGCTGGCTGCATGTGCAGTAAGAATTGCCAAGTGAGAATAGTCTTCACAAAGTCACAAAGAACTCCTGAGACGTGCCTTCAAACTTCAGTGTGATGCAGAGAGATCAGTTGGAGTCAGGAAATCCATCTTTGAAGAGATTCCTTCAAGATGCACTCACCTTTGCATTTCTGCTGGGGAAAGCTGCTCCCTTCATTTTCATCCTCCATGTTTTGGAGTCGCAGTTCCTGTCTGTCCCCATCGTATTCTACAAGCTGCCCAGCGGAGCCCGGCTGTCTTTACTTGGAAACCCAAGTCCTGGGACCTGCCTCTTGGATACTCACTTGAGAGCCTAAGCCTTAAATATGACCACACTACCTTATCCACCCCACTGCAGTAAGTGTGGCCCCAGGCAGACCCCAAGGACCTTGGCTATTTAACGGTAATGTTTTTCCTGCTGTGACCCAAAGCTAGATGGGGTTTTAGATCCCCAGCTCCTCTGGGCAATTCCAAGACCAGCTCCTGCAGCAAGGCAGCAACAGCAGCGGTCAGAGGCACACAGCCCTTGATGTGCAACACCACAGACCAAGCAAGCCTTGAGACAGACCAAGAGCCCACCACAGCTGTTCCAACACCACGCAGGGCTCCCAGGAGACGCTGCATCAGCCCACTATATCTGTTCTGGCCTGCTTGGGAGACATTGCAGAGATCTTCAACCAGTCTCTGTCCTTGGCTTCACCTAACTGTTCAAGGCTAGAGATAAAAGAGACGGCGATGGCTGCTTCAAGACCTAGATTGCCTTCCAAATATTTCTCAGATATGTCCAGTGAGCGGAGCCACGCAGTTGTCATACCCACCTGACAGTGTGGGTGTGGAGGACAAGCATCTGGCGAAACACGAAGCTTTACCAGCATAAAATGCAGGTATTTTGCACCTGCAGGTGTATTTGCACTTCGGTGCAGAAAAGACAGTTTCATTAACACTGTGCAAGCCCTCACATAGATGCTTTCATTTTGGTGTCAGTTATTAATTTTAATGCTAACTGAAACTGTTCATTAAATCAAAAATCAGCGTGCAGGCAGAAAGAGGCAGCCAGGTGGGCATTTGCATTGATTTAGCTGAAGCAGTTGAAGACCTAGCTGAAGTAAAACTGAATCAACTTTTCTCCACACGGCTGGGACTGCCTGCTGGCTGCCCTCAGGAAGCCATCTGCAGGGCTATCTTACCTCCGCTCAGGCACAGATCCTTAATCTGCTGGAAGGCTTTGCGGACAGCTGTGACACAGGCTGGGCTGCACTTCTGAAAATCCTGAAGGGACAGAAAAGACATGGGATTACGGTTGTACAGAGGAGATACATGTGGAGGCTGCACTGGAAAGAACTGCCAGAAGTACCAGGAGATGGCAGGGGTTACTGGCCCACTGGTCAGAACCTCATCTGTGTCTCCAGGAGCAGCGATGCTGGTGCTTCTGCCTTGTCCTCCAGACAATCAGGACGTCCCAGCAGAGCCAACAGTCTGCACAGCTCAGACTAAGCAGCAACTGTTTCACCAGGTCTCACTGGGACAAGCTGTTAGACAAAACACTTTGCACTTAGTGGAGCCATTACTGAACACAAAGCAGCGAGAGGAGACACATGCCTTGGCCAGGACATGGGAAGAGGGTGCCCCACTGCTAGGTCTTAAAGTTTTTTGTTGTTTTTTTTTTTTTAACACACAATAAAGTTCTTCCAATTGCATTTTGTCTATGAGAAGAAGCCATGAAGAAGTCAGTTATGCACGGTGGGCAGAGCACTGGTTTGGGAACAAAGACCTGCTTTTCTTCTTAAGCCTGCCAGTGACCTGCCAGATGACCAAGAAGGCCCTGTCCTTTTTCTTGGGAAAAACATTACTGATCCTGAAAAAGCACTTTAAGGTATGTTTGAAGAGGTGTGGCTGGTTATGCTGGTGGAACAAGTTTTTCTGTCACTGAAGGCTCTAGCAACCCAAACTGTTTCTCTTCTGTCAGCTTGTAAGGCAGTTTGAGATCTGCTGGCAACCAGTGCTTTGTAATTATTACCAGTGCATTATCAGGGGTCTTTTAAGGTCCCTTTAGCCTGCTAGAGCAATGGTTAAGTAACCACAAATCACCAGCTAAGCATTTTTCTTACAAAGACCCAGACTCAACTAAAAATAGATTTGGGACCTTTCTTTTATTCCTAACTCTGCCTTTGTCTGACAGTTATGCTCAGAGAAATTACTATAGGGTTTTGCACAGTTTACCTGGGCATCTCTTTAGGGGTTCCAAATCTCCTTCTGGATGTGCTTATTGATCTTCCTCTACTAATGGCTCTAATTGGAGTATGGGGACAGATCAGCCTGGGACAGAGGAGCAGGTCTGCTCTGGCTGCCATGACAGCTGAGCTCATCACTAGGCAATGCTGGACTGCTCAGCGCACTGCCTGGCACACTAAGGAACGACCACCCATTCCAGTTCTCCGCCACAGACCCGGGAACAGTTCAGCTGAGTCGTTGCAGAAGCACAGGCAGGAGGCATTAACAGCCACACCAAGGAAAGCTGTTCACCCTCCAGGCTGCCAGCTTTACTCTTTTGAATCACACCAAATTCAGATGTCTAAACTGATCTGAAGTTGATAGCCTGAACAGCCCCTGTAGCAGTAATCTTATGGGAAGCGTGCTTGTGGCTGTATGTGTAGTACTCACACAGGGGCTTTCTGCCCAGCTGCAGGCAGGGCAGCTGGCATATATAACATAGCCTTATGCAACTGCCTTATGCTCACTTCCCCTGTGAGCTGGAGGCTTATGAAGTAAGCTGGAAAAGCTCAGTAGAAGTCACAGAGAAAGCTGCTTTGAGACAACACATTCTGACTCACAGGAGGAGAGCACTCCGGCAATGATTCATGACAGGTTTGTGCCTTCATTAGTATTAACAGCTCTCAGGGGTGTTCTCTCACAAAGAAGAGCAATTGAATTCAGATTTCAGATGCGCAGATTGCTTTTATGCAAACACACTGAAGGTGGAAGGAATTACTTTGAAAACAACACAAAGTGCTTGCTTAGGATCTCAGCCCAGAGGTCGGCTTACCGCTGCAGAGAGAACATATTTTAAAATGAATTGGAAAGTTTTTTCACGTGAAAAGGTCAAAGCCCTAATTTCAGGGGTGTGTAATGACTCGCAGCATACTCACAGCTGAAGCAAAACAGAGCTATCAGCTGAACAAGGCTTCTGAGAAGGAATTAGCTTCAACTAGGGAAGAATTCCCACTGCAGGGTCTGTTAGATGACTAAGTGGTATTACATTTTTTGTTTTAAAATGTATCATTTTAAGACAAGATGTCTTTTATTCTCTTATACACTTAGAGTTTCAAATGCTGTTGTGTTTATTTTCATATGATAGTCTCTTCTTTACAGTTACTGGTAATGTTATCTGTCCTGTAAGTCTCTGCATTGAAATAAGGCTTTCATATATGTAAATAAGAGCAAAAAGACCACAAGTTTCATACACAGATAATTCATGCAAAGCCATCCATGTCACACAGATCTAGAAATTCATGTCGAAAAAGAGGCAAAACAGACACCATCACAAGATTTCACTACTACTGGGTAGTACATTTCTTTCCTTATAAACTAAATGTAAGTCAGTTCTAAGCAATACCACATTCCTATGGGTCCTATGTCCTTAAAATGTGAAAGCCACATTTAAATTTTGGTTTGAAGTGAACCCAAGACATGTTGCATATTTTTAGTTAGTGAAATGAAGATTTCCAAGCTCTTCATTGAAATGCAACCATCTTGGGACTAAGGAGCTGCTGTGAATCATTGATATCAACGCAAAATACAACATTTGGGAGAGGATTTGAAGAATAAATTATCCAAAGGGGGTTCAGCCAGGCACAAAGGAAAACTTTCAGGCTGTGATATGGTCAAGTCACTAGAAATGGGAAAGTGAATACTCCGTGGTACTAAAGGTGCTGGAACTGAGTTGTGCTGCTCATCAGAGCAGCACCTTTGGGCCCTAAGCTGCCACAGCTAAGGCAGTGCTCAGCTGTCACATTTGCAGCTGCTGCTTTTCCCTGCGGGTTCCCATTTAATTGCATTTCCTGCCCAGCACTGATGCTGTGAAGACAGATGTCTGTTTAAACACATGGAAAAGGAAAAAAATCCAGCCTTCTTAAAGGAAGAAAATAATGCTCCTGAAAAGAGATGCTACTTACTGCTGTTACATCTCTGAAGAACTGGGTGGGGTCTCCAAGCCCAGCCACAGACAACAGAGGAGCGCTGGCAGCTAATGCTCCGGCCACAATGTTTGGGTATTTCATTCTCATGTAAGCGCTCAGCATTCCTCCATAGCTGCCACAGGAGAGACAAAAGAGTTATTTCCTTTAACAAAGAGCTTATAACATAGTAACTCAAAAGTTCAGGCCAGCAGTCACAGGCTCACCTAAGCAAAGGCAACAAGAAGCTTATGAATATCTGGTAGATGTCATCCTCATGTAAAAAGATCCAGTTATGGTCAATGAGCAGCACACAATGTGTTCTTACTAGCCTTTCCCCAAACGCCCACACCAACTCTGGTGGGAACACAGCAGCCCAGTTTGCTTCTGCAGCCAAATGTAAATCCTGCCTCAATATTTAACTCTGCACCATCCTGAGTGTGTCCTGACAGCTTCAGTGCAGAACCAAGTGGGGCTCAAGTGAAGCTGTTACTGTTCAATGGGGGAAGGAGACACATTTTGCATACAGGATTATAAAGACTAGCTAGGCTCTTAGCAAAGGGTGTCCCTGAACACTACAGAATATGCAGCCCTCTGTAGTGCTGGGAATTGGAGAGTATTGTCCCTAGGCATCCCAAATAACAGCTGCATAGATGATCAGCACAGATATAGGGAAGGGGAGACATTAACAAATAGCATAATAAAACTCAAAGCCACCTTGGTATCTTCAGTGCCAGGGCCACAATCTGCAGATATATAAAGGGTTGCTAGATAAACCCAAGGTGACAAAAGTTATTCATATGCCGATGTTTGTGGAGTTACTCTGAGGTCACTCCTGGGGGTGGCAAATGACATCCCCAAAACGCAGGTAAAACCTGGTCTAACTCCAAGCTTACAGGTATTCATGTCTCTCTCCACACCACCTCAAGTGGTTGGAGTAAATACCATTCTCACATCACCCACATGTAAAGCAATATGCATTTCTTTAACCCCGGTTTTGGAAACAGGCATTAGCTGAAACCTGCCACAAGTAATTTCAGGTTAAAGTTTGGCAAAGCTATAAGCAACAGAAGAGGGTTTTTTTCTCTCCCATGGGAAATGCTGTGCTGCTCCAATACAGCATGTATTTCAGTATTCTTCACGTGGGTTTAGCGCTCATCAGGGCTGCTGCAGACTGAACTCTGACTTACACACATTGAGCTCTAGTCTAACATGCAGCCCAGCTAGCAGGTCTTGCCGAATCCCTCTCCCACCTCCCCACCCCAGACAGCTCCTGGCCCTTTTTACACTAGCTACTGTCCTGTAGCACAAACACTCCTGAGATCAAGAGTCCAGTCACCACCACAGTGAGCTGGAAGCTTTATGATAACTGTCAGGTTAAATGCTTATTAGCTCACTGCAACTGAATTAGAAACCCTGTACTCAGTGGAAGCCTTTTAAAGGGAAGCATCCCTCTACTATAAACATGGGGAGCCATTCAAGAGACAATGACATCACATCAACACAGCTCTGAGCTGCAACAGAACAAGCACTTTGGGGAAGGACTTCTGCTAGGAATCCAGGAGCAACCAAGCAGCAGGTTGCAGAGCAGAACTATAAAGGAGCCTACAATGAAAATGGCTGGAGGTTGTTAAAAAGGCTATGTTTAATAAAAAGATGGGTGATCCCTGGAAAGAATATTTTGCCAATTATTAGTTTTCTGTATTTCCAATGTAAAATGTTCTGATCCTGCAGGAGGAATTTCCCATTTTCTGCAGTTCTGGCTGACTCTTACATTGAAGATGCCTAGAAACATCCAGTCAGTGGTGCTTCTCCAAAGCAATCAGAAATCAAGACTAATTCTTGATGGGAGAGCTGACTGGGACCTGCTGATGAGCTCTTGGGAGCTCAGGTGCCTGATAGCTTAAAGCTCTGCCTTTAGAACTTGTTTGAGAGCCAAACAGATCTATGAGAACAGTATGACTGTGGCTGGGAAAGGATGCAGAGAAGGGAAGGAGCACACACAACATTTACCTGCCTCCAAAAGCAATGACAGGGCAGTCTGCAGCACCATAGTGCTGCTTAAGCTCAGTAATTAGCACTGCATAGTCAGCGAGGGCTTGTTCCACGGTAAGCAGACCAGTCTTCTTCAGCTGTGTTGACTCAAGTCCAAATGGAAGAGACTTCCCATAGTACCTCTGAAAGGAAAGAGATACACTGAAAAAATGCTGGTGTCAAGGTCTGGGTCTTCTCTGTTCTCACTATAGAACTGGGATAAGTGTGCACAAATGGGAAGCAATAACAGAGCACGTGGTGTCCTCTAACTTGTTCGTAACTGAGGAAGTGTCTTGTCTCCTGCATCTGATAAACAGAGACCTTCAGGACATATCCTGTAGAGGATGGACAGTCCATGACAAGCTACTTCAGTGGGTGCCAAGTGGGCCCTTACCACGCGTCTCTGTCCTGAAATCCCCAACTAGAAAAGGGAACAGGGTAATCTCTTCATGCATAAGTTGTGGAATAGTAGCTTTAATAGTGGTGTGCCTAGGGAAAGGTTGGCTTGGGACTTCGCAGGCTAGAGAGATTAAATATTATCCAAACAAAATAACTTTCTAGTCCAGTGTGGAGTTCAAGGCCTGTGGAAACTACTTACAAAAGCACTGGTCTAAAGCAAATACACCATGGCATAGGTTTTACTGAAAGAGTAGTCCGTATCCTGCATTGCTGGTAGGCATAGTAAAAAAAATTCAGAAGCCATGGTTAAGTAAAGAAGAGCTGCTACCATGAGGAGAAAGCTCACACCTCAGCTTCATGGCAAGAGATACTGTTATTTTTCTGGACCTGCAGAAAGCTGAATTCAGTAATACTGAACAGAACAAGACTCTATAGTATGCATAATGACTAAAATACTCACATGCTCAGCAAAAATCACAAGTGCTTGCTGTTCCTCTGCTAATTCAAATATGAAATCAGAGTTCTGAGCAAAAGTCCAGATGTCACCTTCATTGCCAGTATAGAAAAAGATGGGTCCAAATCCTTTCTTCCAGAACTTTGCTGAGTGAGACAATTGACAGAAGCAAATTAAAAAAACGAACCAAACAAACAAAAAAAAGAGCATGAAATTACTCTACTTTTGGTGACTTTGGGCAGAAGCTTAACAAGGAAGAATTCTGTGAACAGGCTGATCCCTGAGACACAAGCTGAGGAATAAAGGTGTTAGAAAGGCCAGGCTACAGAAATCTCTCATTTGAGCAGGGGTAAATAAGAGCTTCCATGAGATCAGCACATGGCCTGGAACTTCCACTTCTGCCTGAAAATCCCTAAAATCTCAGTTCTGCAAGGCATTTGGAAACAGCTGCCCTCCAAAAGAGTGATTTCCCATTTATATACCTTTTTCAGCCCAACTCATCCCAAAACATTTGCACAGATCACTTTTCCCACAAAACGGACGTTAGGGAATTGCCTGGATCTTTCTGCTGCTGTTGCTGTGATGTATAACGTAGAGCTAAGCTGTAAATCACATATCATAGAACAGTTTGGGTTGGAAGGGACCTTCAAAGATCATCCAGTTCAACCCCCTTTCCGTAGGCAGAGACATCTTCCACTAGATCAGGTTGCTCAAAGCCCCATCCAACCTCACTTTGAACACTTCCAGGGATGGGGCATCCACAGCTTCTCTGGGCAACCTGGTCCAGTATCTCACCATCCTCATAATAAAAACTTTCTTCCTTATGTCCAATCCAAATCCACCCTCTTTCAGTTTAAAACCGTTGCCCCTTGTCCTGTCACTACAGGTCCTGGTAAAATGTCTCTCTCCATCTTTCTTATAAGCTCCCGTTATATATTGAAAGACTACAATAAGGTCTCCCCAGAGCCTTCTCTTCTCCGGGCTGAACCAGCCCAACTTTCTCAGCCTTCTCCATAGCAGAGGTGTTCCATTCCCTCTGACCATTTTCATGGCCTCCTCTGGACCCGCTTTGACAGGTCCATGACTGTCTTGCATAGGGGACCCCAGAGCTGGATGCAGTACTCCAGGTGGAGTCTCACAAGAATGGAGTAGAGGGGGAGAATCACTTCACTCGACCTGCTGGCCACACTTCTTTTGGTGCAGCCCAGGATATGCTGCTGCTGATGTGCTGATACATGTTATATATGTAACACACATGTGTGTATGTATATCATATGACATATGATATATATATATGATGATATACAAAGATGATGTGCTTCATCCTCTCATCTGTTTATAACTGAAGGCAAATTGAGACTGGCAGGACAAGCTGACCCATGATGTCCATACTTGCTTGTCTAACAAATAGTTGCTTTAATGCCTACTGACTTTAACAAACATTTGATTTTAGCTTAGTCTTAAATTGCAGAGGAATTAAGAGGCATAATAAATAGCTTTCTTTAACAACAGACCTCAGACCATCAGTTAAGTGTTGATTTCAACACATTGCCACATCACCCAAAGGGACCCTCCAACAGCAGTTTTCCTACGGATGCCACTGCAGCATGTCACACGAGGCCGTTTCCACTAACGGAGAGGCCTGAATTTAATTCTTGGCATTCTCAACACAGACTTGCCAACGCAGGATTTGGCTTGGAGATGGGTTTGAAACCTTTCATTAGTGAAACTGCTGCTTTTTGTTAACAGAGAGGCTGATTCTCTTTCTGTGTTGCATTTGCTTTGGGTATCAGGTAGGAAACTGAAGTGCTATCTTTACTCTGGCTTTTCTTCTGATACGCTTCATGGCTCCTGGAGTAAACAACCATTCACAGAAGCCAAAACCAAACCAGACAGGTTGCTTAAAAAGGTATCTATTTTTAGATTGAAATCCTGGGGAACTGCCAGCTAACCTCAAGACAGTCAGATGCCTGGTTGTGAAATAATAGTCTCCTTCAAGTTCTTGCTGATAATCTGAAACATCTCGTATTGCACAAGAAGCAGAGTACTATTGTACAAGAAGTAGAGGGGAAAGGAACTACTCACAGGAATTTTGAGTAAGAAACTATTTGTAAACCAGCAGAACTGCAATGTTAATGTTTTGTTTCTCACAAATATTATTCAGCTCTGCCTGAAACATAACACTTTAAAAAGAAAACAAATAAAAGTTATTCAATGCTTTAAACCAGGTGATCCCAAAGTTCTGTTCAAAAAGGGCCACTTAACTGGTGAAATTTCAGTCTTGGGTGTGCTATCAAAATCCACTGCTGGTGTTCCTGTATCTTTGGGCTGAACTGATCCATGAATTCACGCTTGGTGAAACATATATGACTGGGTGCAGGTGCTGAACAAGCTGCAGAGTAACAGGTGACATGAAGAAGGTGAGATGCTGCATATGAAGGCCCAGACGCAGGCAGTCTGTGAGGCAGCAGCAGGCAGCCGCCAGGCTGGGCAGCGCTGCCTGGAGGCAGCGCTCTGGGCTGGTGCTATTTACAGCTCCACCTTTGTACTCTCCCTGCAAATCTCTTCCCAATTCCTCCAGGCAGGCAGGATTGAAAAATACGTGATGCTGCTTATTGGAATTGCTGTCTTTTTAGTCACACACTGTTTAGAAAAGCCGCTTCTCTCTTATTGTCTGTTGCACAGAAGATAACTCGTTATTTGGCTAGAAATTCCAGCTCCTTGATGGAAGCCCTCATTGTTCAGCATGGCTTAAGCTATCTAAAGTTGCAGCGTTTTAAATAATGCAAAACACTGACCCAAGAGGAGTTATCTTCACTCGTAAGAACGATGGATACAGAGTGCAATGTTTGGGTCACTATTTCCTTTTCCTGCTGCATTCAGAGCACTGAGTTGCACTCGTAAGAGATGCTGTGCAGAAGTATGCCAGGCACAATTATAAACTGGGAGAGGAGTGGCTGGAGAGCAGCCCCGCAGAAAGGGATCTGGGGGTGCTGGTCGGCAGCAGTATCAATAGCAGTCAGCAGTGTGCCCTGGCAGCCAAGAGGGCAAAACACGTCCTGGGGGGCATCAAACAGAGTATAACCAGTCGGTCAAAAGAGGTGATTATCCCACTGTATTCAGCATTGGGGTGCGGCCTCACCTTGAGTACTGTGTGCAGTTCTGGGGCCCACAATTTAACATGAATGGGAAGGTCCTTGAACGTGTCCAGAGGAGGGCTGGTGACAGGGCTGGAAGGCATGTCCTATGAGGAGCGGCTGAGGACTTTAGGCTTGTCTAGTTTGGAGAAAAGAAAGCTGAGGGGCGACCTCATTGCTCTCTGCAGCTTCCTGAGGAGGGGATGTAGAGGGGGAGGTGCTGATCTCTTCTCCCTGGTATCCAGTGATAGGACACATGGGAATTGTTCAAAGCTGCATCAGGGGAGGTTTAGAATGGACATTAGGAAGCCTTTCTTTACCGAGACCGTGGTCAAACACTGGAACAGGTTTCCTAGAGAGGTGGTCAATGCCCCAAGCCTGTCAGTGTTTAAGAGGCATTTGGACAATGCCCTTAATAACATGCTTTAACTTGGTCAGCCCTGAATTGGTCAGGCAGTTGGACCCGATGATTGCTGTAGGTCCCTTCCAACTGAAATAGTCTATTCTATTCTATGGCCAACTGAAGACACATGCACAGAGCCAGCCCTGGTGCAAGCCTAACGCAGCTGCTGCTAGTAGTCTGCTCTTGTTCTGGAGCGGCCAATCCCCACACATGCACCCCACACTTCGTGGCCAGAATGACAAATTCAAGGAAAGGAGAGAAGGATATGGACAACGCTAGGGGGAATGACTGGCTCACGAAGGGCTCAAACTGAGTCCTGCCTGCTCAGCACAGCTCTCTGAGCACCAAATGGTGAGGCTCTCTGCCTCAGTGCAGGAGCTGCTAAAGCTTACGCAGACAGAAACTCAGCCCTGAGCCATAGCAAGGCCC